TATTAATATTAATTATTAATAAATTATTAATATTAATATTAGAGAGCAAGCACTCTACCACTGGACTATATCCCTGAGCCCAATACTGAAGGCTTTTAACTACTGTGAAACACTATTATTTGAAGGTACATATGTTCTCTACATAGTCTATCAAGGAATCAGAATTTTGAGAAAATTTTCCTTACTAAAAACTTTTCCACAACTCCCTAGCACTTTTATAATGTAAAAAATATGATTTTTGATGCTCAAGTCTACAATGAGTCAACAAAAGGTCCAATACAGTCAAGTTTCTTAGCCTTAAAAATAAGTATTTGAACAGAGTCACTATCCCTTCACCTGCTTTATTTCCACATAAGAACATGTAAGAATGGCTTCAGATACACAAGCAGTATTTAACAGTGCTGCCTACACTAAAATTTAATTTTCTAGTATCTCAGAAACATATTGCAATGAAAGATAGCATGTAAAAACTGGGTTATTTATAATTACAGTAACCTAAGTAAAAAATCTCCCAAGAGTTTTAATTTTCATATAGCTCAATTACAATATATTTCAAATATTCATCCAAAAGACAATTAGCTGGTGGCTTGCAAAATTGAAATCATAAGGCCACATATCTTGTCAGAGTTCATAAAGGGAATACAATTCCACATAATCAATTTCTATTATTAGTTATAAGTAGTTATTGGCTCCTTGATAATGAAAGAAAAATGTTTATCAAATTTATATGCATTTCCCCATTTTAAATATATTAAAATAAAAACTGAATTGTAGTTTAGTGGGATTTGTAAAGCAAAATGCTCAGATGCCAAAAGTGGCTCTTCTCTTCTTTCCTCCACAAAAAAGCATCTGTTCAAAAAGAAGCAAACATAAGTCTATTTTCATTAGAATTACATGTTGATTAAATTTTACGTTATAGCTACTGTAAGTGTGCAATATGTAATTCATTAAATAAGTTATAACTTAATGCTATAACTTCTATTCCTTTATAATTTGTCTCTCATCTCTGGTCTGCCACACTCAGAGAATCACAGCCATAATGTGTTATTGCAATTGATGGGAACATCATATCTACTTTTCTCACAAACAAGGGAAATGATTGAGAATTCTTAGTTTAAGTGAATCATCTATATGAAATGTTTGGCATCTGTATCACTTGACCCTCTTTTGCCTTCATATATTTTAAAAAACATTTTATTTATTATTTTTATTTTATGTGTACGAGTGTATTGCCTGCATGTATGTGAGTGCACCTGTGTCACGCAATGCCGCGGAGGTCAGAAGAGGGATTCGGATTCCCTTGAAACTGGAGTTAAGGACGGTTTGTAGCCATCATGTGGGTGCTGGGAATCGAACCCAGGTCCTCTGCAAGAGCAGTCAATGCTCTTAACCGCTGAGCCATCTCTCCAGCCCCACCTTCATATTTTTATTGAAGTATTTTATTATCATTTAACATAATGTACTTATTGATTATTCACCTCCTGTCACTAAATGGAAGCTTTCTGAGAAAAAGAATGTTCCTATCGTACTGCTTTGTGAACAGCTTAGCACTGAGGCACCACAAATGACTTAAGTATGTGTATATTTATAAAATATACATACATATAATGAACCCACATCTTATAGACTATTAAAATATCAATATTCTACTTTACCAAAATACTCAAGAATATTTAATAAGATTTCCTCATTTCCAGTAAATAGCAGTAATTTAATCAAAACCATACAATGAAAAATTAAAAGTAGAATGGTGAGGAACACTGAGAAAACATTTTATTAACATATAATCACATGCTTAATATGATGGACGAGTTCCTTCATGGCTTCTATATCACAACTATTCCCTATTTCCTATATGTAGTTCTCAGAATAACCGTACAATGTGCTCGTGATTCAGCATCCTGAGACATGAAGGCAAGGGCTGGAGTAGCCCAGGCTCTGTTTACATCTCTCCTAGAACAAGATGTTCTAAAATGCTTTAGCTTTACTTATCCAGTGCCCTCCTCCTATTAAAATAACAAAACAAAACAAAAAAAGCACTGCTCCTTTCAATGTCCCTAAGTTTCAGTACAACTCAGGGTCAGACAGATGTGAGAGGTTAACTTGAACATTCACGTGCTAATGTAATGTCTAGGGATGCCAGCATAGTATATGTTTAAGACTCTATAATAGAATAGGCAGCTTTGTCAAGCCTTCTTAACTACGAATCCTAGGTTTCTATTCTCTAGCACCTATGTCTGAATAATAAGGTTGCTTTACTTAACTTATATGTTCTGTCTCAGCTTACTCATACGAATACTATATAGTACTTGAAAAGTATTTATAGCTTTCCCCTAAATTAACAGAAATACTAATTGCTCTAGGTCACTTAATTTGGGGAAAGGGCCTCCACATGCAAAAAGACAAGCACATGCAGCACCTGAATACACATGTGTACACATCACATATACACAATACATGCACTCAACACATATACACAAAAATTTCTAAATCAAATCAATATTAAATATATAAAATATGTTAAATGTGAGGGAGGACACTAAAACAGTTCTTAGAAATCTGTACCAGTAAATGCTTATAGCAGTAAAAAAAGAAAAAAAAGATCTAAATTCAACCATCTAAAGACAACTTAAAGTAGACACAAGAAAACTAAACCTTAACAAGGTGAAGGAAAGAAGTAATGAATACTGTTTTAACTGTGAAATCTGAGGTGAAAAAAGGAGATGAAAGTAGTCTTGGGGGACTATTAGGTAAGTAGAAGAGGAAAAGGCAGAAAGGAGATCAGAAACGGCAATGAAGGCGGTGAACATCAATTACATCTATACATGGAAACACCGTTATTAAAAATAAATATTAAAAAGGGGGCTAGGTGTGGCAGCACATGCCTTTAATCCCAGCACTTGTGAGGCAGAGGCAGGCACATCTCTGAGTTGGAGGCCAGTCAGGGCTACATAGCGAGAACCTGTCTCAAAAAAATTAAAAGAAAAAAGATAAATAAAAAGGAATATATATAGAAAAATATTCACTTTATGAATAAAACCTCCAGCTTTCTACTCAAAAGTCTTTAAGCTTCTATCATTCTAAACATCTATCTGATCTACGTTATGTCAAAGTCAACCATATAAACAACTTTTCTAAATTTTAAATAGGCGTTATTGATTAAAAATATAGACCTGACTCAGACCAATGGCACTATGCAGAAGAGGTTCAAACCATCAAAGCCCACTGGACAAGGTAGAGACCAACCAAGCTGCCTAGCTACCTAGAAGAGGCTCAAACCAACAGAGCTGCTCAGAAAAGACACTCTTTAATCTGTTGATCTGCCTGCAAGGTATATAGTGAGTTCCATGTTTACTGCTTTTGTAAGCTATTACCCATGCTGGGGTGGGATTTTGATGATGCAGCTGTCTTTGAGTCATTTCTGCTCCTGCAACCCCAATAAACTTGCTGGTTTACACACATGCACAAAAATATAAATCCTTCTTGGTAGAAGTAACTAATTATGAGTTCTAATATTGCAACAACCACATAGTTTTCCAATAATTTACAATGAAGTTGGGATATTACTGTTCATGTTTTTGAATACTATGAAAATAGAAAAAGACACTTCAAAAAAGTATTCTTACTCCATGCTTAGCAATTGGATTTCCTTGCTGTGATATATTTTTATGGAAAAATATGTCTATGGGGCCTATCAAATATTATACATATTAAGTAGTTTTCAATCCAGGCTTTAAATCTCAATAGAAAAATGTAAATTCAAGAAAAACATGATCTCTCTTCTCTCTCTCTCTCTCTCTCTCTCTCTCTCTCTCTCTCTTTCTCTCTGTATGACAGGATCCCAGTATTTTGTTTTTTTATATACAAGTTGACATGTTGGGTGGGGCTGTGGAGATGGCTCAGTGGATAAGCATGTATGCTCTGCAAGCATAAGGACCCAAGTTCAAGTACTCAGCACCCACACTAAAAGCCTGGCATGGCTGCACATGCCTGTAAACCGCAGCAGTTGGGACATAGGTGGATCTGGAGAGCTTGCTGGCCAGCCAGTCTATCTGAAACTGTGAGCTTCAGGTTCACTGAGAAATCTTGTCTTAAGGTGATAAGGCAGAAAGCAACAAAGGAAGTCACTGGACATCTTGCTCAGGCCTCTACATTCATGCACAGGCACCACACATTCATGTGCATGCACCATACATATACACAAAGACATACATACAGAAATTAACATGTATTGTGTTGAATTAAAAATAACCTCTCCTTGGGAAAGCATTTATGTAAATCTAGCAAGGAAATTATGCAGAAATTATTTTTCATGTGCTAAAGTAAAATTTGAAAAAAGCATGCACCTGAATATAGTGGCGGAGAACATACAGAATTTTACCATTTTGGGCTTTTTCAAACAATACTCTGTGAAATTCAGCAAATGCTCTTGTACCAATTTCTGCATAGAGAATAATCACTGGTAAGTTCTCATTTTTTGTGGACAATTTATGATCTCTTTCAAATAGGTAAGGGCTGGGTCTAAAATGAAAACAAAATGCAAATTTTTAAAAGAATTGAAAATCAATAGCATATCAGACATATATTATGATACTTTATAATTTATGCTATTAAAGAATTTGTAATATATATAACCACGGAAAAAGAACTTAAATTTCCTGTGGTG